GCCTCTCCAGAGACAGGCAGAGTTGTGGCAGGGAGCAGCACAGTGCCAGGGCTGTGCACTCCCCATGATCACAGGCATGGCTTGGTTGGGTTTGTTTTGTAAGAAAGATTTTTCTTTGGGTGAGCACAGTGGTGGGAAGCCCAGGTATCGCACAGCTGGCTGAAGCACACAGCTGCTGTTCCCTGTGCAGCTGTGGGATGTGCCCCTTGGATGTGAGCTGGTGCTAATACTGAGGTAAAAGTCAAGGTATGACTGCCCTGCTGTCCTTACTCTGTGAATTTGCTGGTTCAGGCAGAAACAGTGAGGGCAGCTTTCACCTGGCCAACCTGCAGTCCACTGCTGGCAGGACAGCAATAGCTGTGTGAGCGGAGTTTGTGCTGCAGAAGTTGCTTAAGACATTAAGTAAATAATCTGCCACTTGACCCACATGAACAGCAGAAGTGCCCAGAGCAGCATTGCCAGCCTGCCTCAAGCTGGCTTTCCCTGGGCCAACCTTCCCTGCGCCAGCCTTAGGGGCATGTCTGCATGAGACCAGTGCACCTTGCTGTGCACCAGGAAGATCATCTGAGCTGCTAATTAAACATCTTTCCAAATCTCCTTCAACAGCAGTTTGGAATCTTAAGATGGCCTTGGATTCTGTGAACCAAAGACGGTAATGTTCTCTCTTACAGCTGGTTCTGAAGCATTGTAGCTTCCCTGAAGTAAGGAGATGTAATTCAGTGTTTATAAAGGCAGACAGGAAAGTAAAATACTGTTTGGTTCTCTCTGAGAGTTTTTTCTAATGTAGAAAGAATGAGTCACTCGACACTTCATTACTGAATAGGAGCTGATTTACAAGTGCATATGCCCTCAGATGAATGTTGGTGGATGAACTCCAGCAGTTTCCTCCATGACCATGCTGTAAATGGGCTTCAGCCAGTTTCATGTAATTCATTCTGTAGTACTGTGCTGTCTTTTGAAATGGAAGTACCATCCTTCTTATGATCTTTGAATGCTGGAAGGCCAAATAACATGGGAATTGCTGATTAGCTTTAATTCAGCTCTGCTACTCCAAGAAAGCATAGTTCCTGAATTGCACAAAGAAAGCCTTGTCAAGCACAGACCCAAATCAGTGTACTGAAGATCCTGTTGGTAGGTGTGGTGACTAAGATTAATATTTACTTGATGTCTTTCATCTTCCAAGTACTTTACACAGAACAAGCATTTAATCTTTGCAAAAGATATATAAGTTAGGTGAACTAAGTTTTACTCCCTTGGCTAACTAAAAGCAGGGAAACAGAAGCAAAGAGATTAAAGTAGTTTGCTCATGGTTACAAAGATGGCCAGCACTGAAACTGTGTAATTTCAGGTTTCTATTTCTGAGTACAGACTAATGTCTCTTCCTGGTAAGAAGAAGCAGCAGGACAGACTTTGGAGTAAGAACATCATAAGAACTCAGTGAGGCATCACTTAGGCTGATGTCCTGCCAGCCTGTTCTCCTCCCTCCTCCCTTACAGAGGCATTCCCACAGGTTGCCACTTGAGTTGCAAAGCATCGTGGATCTTCCCTTATGCTGATATAATGTCTCCGTTTAGTCATTGGTCTGGTTAAACCACTGAGAAATAAGTGTGTGTTGAGATTTCTGGAATAAAACAATCTCTGTTGAAGTGAATATGATGATCTACAATTTTAATCAATTCAGTGGCTTACTGCATTAGAAAGTGCTTAAATTACATTGTTGAATTTTAAGTATGCAAGTGGTCTCATTAATCAGGAAAAATTATTTGTTTACCTTTGGTTTGGATAGAGCTACTCATAGAGCTCTGAATAAACTGAAGTAAATTGCCAAATCAGGGCCCTGGTTTGCAGCAAAGGCCATGTCACCCTGATCTACAGACTGGCAGGGAACCTTTTGGGGGTCCAAAGGTAGTTTTTGGCTTAAAGAGCTTGCTATTAAGATGAGTCAGTGGACAAAGCTGAACATCTGAGAAAGTTCTTGTCTGAGAAGGCGTCTGATCTTCTGAAACAGAAGCCTCCTTTGTACAATGCATGTGAGTTGGGTGATCCTCAGTCTGGTTGTACAGCTGGTTGACTGTGATGGAAAGCCTCACCCTCCTTCTGTATGGGGAAAAAATTGCCCCTCCTTTTGTGCGGGGGAAAAAATATTGCCGTTTAGCTCCTCCAGTCTTACTTTAAAGAAGAAAGAGAAGATGTCCTTGCCTGAAACTGAAATCCACTCAGAGATGGTGGCCATAGAAGCCACATAATTTTGTCTAGATTTGACTGTTAATCAAGCCTCCTGTTTCACCTGGAGTAATGATTTTAATGCTACAGTAGGAGTCACAGGGTGAGAGCAGGGAGGCAGGAAAGAAAAGCAGTGCAGCCCTTATAAGGCCATGGTTCAAAATGCTTAATTAGTTGTTTCAAACCGGTGGCTCTTCTCCTTTGAGGCAGGAATGATGTATCAGCAAAAGCTGACCAAATTGATGTAGCGAATAAATTCTATGATAATCCGTTTATTTAAACTTTGGTACTTAAATTTATAAGCTCTTCTCAAGTATGCCTGTGCTGCCATTCATTAGTCCTTATTCTTTTATGCTCTTGCTCTGAGGTTTAGCAAAATGGCCAGGACGTGCCACTTGAAACTGCCTCCAAACGTAATTCAAGCAGGTCTCAGTAATAGTGCTAAAAGAAGAGCTATTTAGTGGCATTATTAATGAGCAAAGAGTTCAGGCAGGATTATGAAAAAGTAAATTTTTACTAAGAGTGCAGGAGCTAGAAGAATGGACTGATTGCCCTGAGTCCCGTGGACCCTCGAGCAATCAATTTCCCTTTCTAGTATTCAGTTACTTGCTAATTGTATTGATTTTTATCAAATATGTGTACAAATCAATTTTATATTTTAGTGCTATTAAAAGCTTCCTTCCTTCCTTCCTTGGAGGCTGCACTGATCATTCCCATTGTCTTCCTTTATTTTAATGCACGTATCCTAATGCACATTTTCCTTAGGACATGCATGTTTTTCTTTAGGACATTGAACTAGCTTGGGATTTTACCTTGATGCTCAGGGGTGGAGCAAATAGATGTCAATCAGTCCAAACCTCTGTGAAGGTGGAACTGTCTGCTTAGGGAAACGTTGCAGGAAAGGGATGTGTGGTGTCTTGAAGTGGGTGGGTGCAAGTGACCACACAATGTGACCTCCTGAAGAACAGGAAGCATGGCTGCGCCGGATGGGGGTTGTGCTGCAGAAAGCTTGCAATGAAAAAAAGAAGGGATAAATGCTGAGCATGATGCACTCTTACTGAGTAAAGGGGGAAATGAAGTCAGGGTGAGAAAAATGCAACTCCTGTTCTATTAGGATGACCCCCATTGCTGCTGCAAACCAAGTAATTTAGGCACTTCAAGTAAAGTGGATGCTGGAGACATCTCTGAGCAGAGTGACTGTATTGAGCTGTGAACAAAATAAAACAACATTCTCCATTTGTGTTTGTTTATGCCCATGGCGATTCAAATTGTTGCTGTCAAAGGTACCTGTTTCTGAGACAGGACATGCTTATGCTGTCCTTTTAATGTGATCCACATAGTTTGGGTTTGGGGAGAATCTCTCTGGCTGCGTGTGAGCCTGAGAAATAGATTCTCATACTTTAAGTGTTTGGTGTATGTACAGCACTGCCAGAGATGGTGGGGAGACTTTGAACTTTTAATGGTGTGAGCAGTAGTCACAAGAACAAGGGGAGTTACCACTCTGCTTTTCCACTTGCCTCTGACTTAATATTAAAACTGGAGAGTTTATGGTGGTATGTTTTCTGCTGTTACACCCAGACACTTAAACAAAATACTTTTATACTTTTCCTCAGGAAGGAAGAGTTGCATTAGCAAGTATTTGGGTGTATACATATGGTAAAAACACACCTTGCATTAACTCATCTAAAACAGTGGTGCGTAGGGCATTTTATATTTTACACGGATCACTTTGGTCGTTTTGATTACGTTCTCCTCCTTGGTTCCACTGATATTTCTTAATCTCACAGCAAACCCATCTGAGAAAACCAGCAGAAGCCACAGCTTTGTCAGCCTCTCCTCCCTGCCAGTCGCTACCCCCAAAGGCAGGGGTGCTGTGGGATGGGAAGACAGACCCAAACCCTCTTGCCTCATCCAATGGCAAAAAAGGACCAGGGTCCTGGTTCCCCAGGAGCCCCCAGACAACAGCACAGTGGGGAGCAGGCATCCTTTGTGCCCCCTCACAGCATTCCCCGGCTGCCACTGTGACTTTTCTTGCCACTTTGGGGTGCTTGGTATTTTCACTGCAACCACCATCATCAGTACAATGTTTTAGAAGCAGTTTAGGAGAAACCATTCTTCTTGTGCTTTGGTCTCTGTGCCCAGTGAGGTCCCTTGCTGCAGGCCCAGGGTGAGTGTGGGGACAGACCCTGTGTCAATGCACAGCCCCTGCCCAAGGAGCTGGCTGCTCTGCGCCCCAAAAGTCCAGGTCTCGGTGGGACCAGAGCTGCCGTGCTGCCTCGCACCACCTGCCCAACCAGGGACACGGCTTTGTCTTTAGCTTTATACAGCACCTCTTGTAGGAAAAATCACAGACTGGGTAGGCCGTGTGAGGGGTCATTATAACACAGAGAAGATAAATGTACCGGTTCTGCTGGAGGCTGTCCTCAGGCTGTTTGTTATGTGTCTCCAACACTGTCACTACATCACACACTTCCTCGATCTCCGTATTACCCTACAAGCCTGTCTAATGGGATCCTCTGTTGCTGATTCCAGCTTACCCTGACCTACTTCTTTCTTGTGTCCCAGTGAGCTGTCAGGAGCTATCAGAGCACTGGGAGCTGAAATAAACACTCACTGAGGGGAAAAGCAAGGCTGTATCCAGTGAATTTAATTAGCTTTGTTTAAGCTTGCTTGTTTGCTTTGTAAATCACGTCGTTTTTAGTCAAATTTAAGGGATAAAAAAATCTGTAATTAAAATCAAGTGATGCACGACCTTATTAAAAGTCAAGGGGTTTAGAAGTTCCGTACAAAAAGTAATTTAGTTTGTAACACATTTGCAGTGTTCTGAATATTTTAGGGAGAGGAAGGATGAAACTGCGATTCTTTTTGGTTTTGGGATCTTTCTTCAGGCTGGAAAGAGATTTGGGCTTTTTGAATCGTTATCTTTACCTTTTCCTGAAAATGGGTTTTAAAAAATTGCTTTGGTCTTTTTGTCAACATTGCAAGCTCACTGCATAAAATTTTAGAATCCAAATAAAGATTCTTACTGTTCCTTTCTTCCCTATGACCTAAGCATCAGTTCAGTATATTATGCATAGTTTGAATCATTGCTGTTGTGTGAGGCCATGGTTTAAAACCTGGCTTCCCTTTGCACGTCTGTTGCATTTTTGAGTGTTGTAACAGAAGTCATTGTAATTTTGGCTCTGCCAGACAAATGAAGCCCTGACTCGACAAGTCATCACTGGGTTGAATTTGAAAGTGCTTGAGTGTTTTTATCAGACAGTGCATTTTGTCTTTCAGGTGCTCTACTGTGTTGCAGTGTGGCACATTTTTCTTCTAACAACTGATGTTCTTGCTCTTGTCAGTGTAGGGTCTAATCATCTTGTTTTGAAAATGATAAAAGCCCTATGAATTCCTAATATGTCTTATCAAAATCTGGCTCAAGTATAAAATGTCTGACCCCAACTTCTAATTATTCTTCAGCAGAAATATATTTCTGCCGTGCACCATGCATGCATATTGATAGAGCCTCCTGAGCACATGGCTTATAGAGATACCCTCATCCTTGTGCTGAGCTGCAGCGTGAGCGGAAAAGGATTAAAGGACCACTGAGAAATAAATGGATATGCATGAACTTGCAGTGTGAGAAACAGTAAAACATGGGATAAAACTACTACCCAAGAGTATGGGAGGAATAAAAATCTGTTTCACAAAGGTGCAGAACTTCTTTGAGTCTTTTGAAGAGGATGTAAGATTGGCTAACCTGTGAGTACTGCACTGAGAATTACTCGTGGTAATAATTTCACTGAAGAGTATAATGAGCAGCCTGATTGCTCAATGACTTCTGAGTAACTCACTAACTTAAGGATCACTGTGAGGTTTCAGGGAAGGAAAAGACAAATGTTCTTTTTTCAGTGAGAGTTTTGGAGCTCCCTGTCTCCACTGGAACACATGATGCTGGAAACTCTCTCCTGTGCCAGGAGTGGAAGTTGTATGAAAGACTTGCAAAAAGATACACAGAGGGACACTTCAGTGGCTTGACAAAATTGAACTGAAACAAGAATAGCCAGATGAGGGGGGTAACCGAGTGGTTGAAGTCAAGTGACCAAGTCTGTGGTCTTTCAACAGTAGGGAATGAGGCATGGAAAGTTGAGACACCCCAGTTCAATATCTCCAGTGAACAAAAATCAGAAAATTTGAGGTATTATAACTTCAGAAACTTTGGTTGCATTCTGCTTCTTTACCAGATCTTGTATATATCCTTTGTGTATTGAGGTCTTAAGTATTTTTGGCAACTGCAGCTGAGCTGTGTAGAGTGGGAGGAATACAAGTACTGCTCCTGGATCATTGCTCCAGAAAAAGTGGCTGAGGTGGAGCTTTTATCACAGGCATGGAAGCAGACGTGTTTTATGGTCTCATCCAGTGTGAATAGCAAGAAAAATGTGTAGTCTTGATACCCTGTGGAGAGGTGAGTGGTGGAGCAGGGAGGTGTGAGGGGGCTAAAGCTAAATGCTCATTTGGACCCATTAGCTGCTGAGTGCTGCTCATTGCAACTGAGAACCAGGTGTGAGAGGACAAGGAGACCTCAGCTGTGGAAAAGTGGGAATTTAGAGTGTTTAGCAACAAACATGTGATGAAGACCTGTGTGCCTGTCGTCTCTGTGATAGCACTGTCATCCCTCTATTCATCTCCACAGCTGTGGGAGGGAGGGAGCAGGAGAGGGACTCAGGGTAGGGGGACACATGGAAATCAGGAGCTGAGAAAGGGACCTGTCCTGGCACCACCCTCTGCACCTAGAATACTGCCCACCATGTTCTGGGCACCACTGTAATCTGAATAATCTGAATAATAAGCATTTAATTCCAAGCTCCTCGTATTTGGCTGTTCAATGATGCTTTGCTTAGAGGACATGAAAAGGTACAAATGTTCATAAAACTCGAGTCATTTAACTTAAATCAACCTCCTCCTACCCACTATTGACAGATCAAGAGAACCAATGAGGCATGTTTAATTACACATGCACCCAGTTTACAGTTAGTCTGCAGACTGGGGTGGTTTTTTTTCCTTTTTTTTCTTCTCCTGACACCACAAAGAAAAATTTGGTTCTGCAAGAGATCTTACTGAATGTAAAACGGGCAGGGCTACAGTGTGTTTTTTTGGTTTTTTTTTTCCTTTTTAAATGTAAGTGGAATATCTTCTAGGTCAAATGATTTAATCTGATGCTCTAATGTGACATGGTTTAACAATCCTTCTGCTCCCCTTCTGCTTGTAATAAGTGACAAAAATATGGCTTCTTGCTTGATAAATGGGTTAACAGTATTCACAAGGCAGGTAATAGAAATCCATATTAATAGGTGGAAATTGGCTCTTGATGCCAGGCAGGAGAGTCTAATGAAAGTATTATTATTTTAGCTTCCAGCTCCTTTGGAAGCTAAACGGTAAATGCCTGTATTATGTTCTTATTACCTATTTATCACACCATATAGCTAAGTGGTTATTTATTAAATTACATTCATGTTTAATGCCTGTTTGTATACTTTTCTTTCAGTGTGTTCTCAAAGGAAATTCTCTGGAAGTATTTCAGAAACACACAACTATTTTCCCATTCTCTTTTTATAAAGTAAGCCCATTGTTGCTAACTGTTAATATAGAATTGGCTTGGAAATTAAATTGTTTCCTGCTAAGCTGTAAGAACCAGCTAATCCTGCTCTAATTAATTTAGGAAATAAATATTTAAAAATCTGAAAAACACATGGTATTTTTGGGTAGTGTTGATTCTATTTTAGTCTTTGAAAATACCCAAGATCCCAAGAGCTGGGCTTACCTATTTTCAGCTTTAATTTTGCATTAAATTGCTTCATCAGGGATTTTATATATGACCTTCTGTATGTTTGTGATTCTTTTGAGAATATTTAAAATAGTACTGAATACCATCAAAGATAAGAAATTAGAAGCCTGTTTATTAATACACCTACTTCTCGTGCTTCTCCAGTTTTACGTTCTTTTTTTCTTCTTAAGCAACGCTTTAAATTAATTCCATCTAGATTAAAAGAAAAAAGAAAAAAAAAGGAAGAAAATTAAAAGAACAAAAAGCTAAAGCTGAAAATCCAGCACAGCTCAAATATTCCCACACAGCTTTGACCTGGAGATTTCTGGGTTCTCGAGGGGTTTTTTGTACATTCTGAGAGGCAAATAAAAAAAAATGGAAAGTGGGCTTGCATTTTCTTCCGCCACATTATTTCCACCATTATTTTGTCCCTCTTGTCAGAGCACTGTGACTGTGCAGTGCTGTGGGGTGATAGTCAGAGTGAGTCAGGTGAGGACCAGGGCTGATAGCCCAGGGCTCCTGGTTTTCTGTATACCTTGTCCAGCAGAGTCACACCACTTCCTTCCTGACCCAGCATCCTGCACTCACAGATCATGCAAGGAATGCCCAGCTGGAAATCTGTGCCAGTTTATTTAAGCAATCCCAACCAGGACGTTTGACTCCCACTCTTACCCTGAGAAATAGCTGTAATGTGTAGAAATCTGAAGAGTGTATTCTTTTCCTTCATCGAGTTATTTGCAGCTGCCTCAGAAATTCCTAGGGCTTGGTGCAGGCAGCTCCTGTGCTTACACAGAGCCTCAGCAGCTGTCACAGGCACCCTGGCCAGGCATGAAACAGCCCAGGTGAAATGCAGGGGCTCCTACCCATGAAATCCTGCTGGGGGATCAGGCTGTAAGATCTGGACTTAGATATTACTAGAAGGCCAAGTGTTTCTTTTTATTTAAAGGCTTTGATAGCTCTTGTCTGCTTGAAGTTTAATTTTGGTGGAATATTGCATTGACCCATCAATGCAATCTGTTAAATACTGCTATTTGAACCACTCTGGCTTGTTTATATTAAGGATAAATAAATAACCCAGAGTTGCTACATTGCTGCTCTCTGCAGTGCAGGCAGTAATGCAAACACTCGTTTCTGCAGCAAGCAGGTTAATCACTTTATCACTTTCACTAAAATTGTATGCCATTGCCCTTTAAAGACTTAATCTTCGTCATTAGGGGTTGCCCAGTGAACATACTTTCAAATTAGAGAAACTGAAAAAAATCTATATAAAAGAATACCATGTTATGCTTTGCTTAGTACTGATTTACATTTTTAATGTAAGAAAAATTCAGAAAATAGTTGTACTCATC